TTTATTTTATGCATTTATAAGCATTATTCTGAGAAGAGGTGATAGTTTCATCATACTGGCACATAAAGGATTATAACCTCTCCTTCAATGAGTCTTGACCAGCACTGTTTTAAATGAAAGAACAGAATAGAGTGTAAATTATTAGATGCATAAAGATAACTATTGTTTTATAAAATGTTAGTTTTAGTTATGTCTGTGTACATATACTCTGAGTCGTAATGTAAAATTTTTTATTCCTATGGGTTAGAGGCAATTTGAAAACACTGGCTTAAGCTCGAAAGGGGAATGTTTGTCCTTTATGGGTTCACAATCTCTCATCGAAAACCCTTGAAGTTTTTTCAGAATGGAGAATATTATAAACTTTAGAGAGACAATACAGTGCATAATCCATAAACAGTAGTCCCACTCCTTATCTGTAATTTTGCTTTCTATGGTTTCAGTTACCTGAAGTGAACCATGGTCTGAAAATATTAAATGGAAAATTCCAGAAAAAACAAATCATAAGTTTTAAGTTGTGTGACATTCTAAGCAATGTGATAAAATATCGTGCTGTCCCACTTCATCCCGCCTGGGATGTGACTCATCTCTTTGTCCAGCATCACCACGCTGTATATGCTCCTCACCCATTAGTCACTTAGGTTATCAGATTGACTGTTGTGATATAGCTGAGCTTGTGTTCAAGTAATTTGTATAGTAGCCTAACATCACATCACAATGCCTACGTCATTCACCTCACTTCATCTTATCACATAGGCACCGTATCATCTCTCAGCATCTCATGAAGAAAGGTGAGTATACCACAATAATATATTTTTAGAGAGAGATAGAAACCATGTTCAATAACTTTTATTACAGTATATTGTTATAATTTTTCTATTTTGTTTTATTTATTGTTGTTAATGTCTTCGGTGCCTAATTTATAAATCATGCTTTATCATGGGTATGTATATATAGGAAAAAACACAGGATATATAGGGTTTGGTATTCTCCACAGTTTCAGGCATTCACTGGGGGTCTTGGAACATATCCCCCACGGATAAGGGGGGGACTACTGTATTATAGAAGACTGTAAAAGAGTCAGGGCAGCCCCCTGTAATCAAATATATTAATATATCTTTTTCCTACAGTAAAACACATGAATCTTCACATTAAGTAGAATGAATGAAAATCATGAGCAGCCTGATGTTAGTTCAAGTCAGATTTTGCTGCCAAAGGAGGGATACAAAATACTTACAGTTTCCAGAATTTTGGGGATTTGGGGATAGTAGACTCAGGAATTGACCTTAATTTGATCACTTAGTGGAAGGAGGTGGATAAGGATGAGGATTCAGTATTTTTCGTAATAATTTTTGACATCTTTTATTTTCCCATGATTATTTTTGCTTTGTCCATAGTTTAATATATATAACCCTTCCTATGGAGTATTTAATTTAGGTTTTTTCCTAAGGCAATTTCAGATTTCATTAAGAAATAAAACACAATAGTATTTTAACTATACACACACACACACACACACACACACATATGTATTTTTTTTAACCAAATACATTGTATATTCCTTAAAGGATGGGATATAAAACAGTATTTTCCATAACTACACTAAAGTTACTATCCATTTAAGGATTAGATTCTGACACTAGATTCTGACACCAGTTCCGACGTGTGGTGTTTTCCCAATCACTAAGCAATTTTCTGACACCACTGGATGTCCTAGTTCAACTCAGTTCTGACACTATCTACCTGGAGATACCATCAGATCCCACAGGTTAAGGGTTCAGTCCTATAAGACAGCCAGCCCCTACCCCACTTAAGTCTAGGCTGTCACCTGGGTATCTGATGGACCTGCTGTAGATCGGAGGTTTCCACGACCTTCTCCTCAAGTTCAATTAATTTGCTGGAGTGGCTCACAGAACTCAGAGCAACATTTTATTTACTAGATCACTCATTTATTAAAAAAGGATGTAACTCAAGAACAGCCCAGTGGAAGAGATGCGAAGGGTAAGGTATGTGGAAAGGCTGCGGAGCTTCCATGCTCTCTCTGATGGCACCACACTCCCCAAATCTCCAGGTGTTCACCAACCAGAAGCTCACTGAACCCTAGCCTTCTGTTTTGTGGAGGCTTTATTACATAGGCATAATTGATGAAATCATTGGCCACTGGTAATTGAACTCAATCACTAGCCCCTCTCCCAGCTAGAAATTAGAGGGGTGGACCTGAAAATTCCAACCCTCTAATCAGTGATTGGTTCCCCTGGCAAATAGCCCCCATCCTTATGTGACCTAGGGGCTTTCCCAAAGTTACCTCATTAACATAAACACAAGTGCGATCCTAAGGGGTTTATTATTAATATCAAGATATGAGTTTTCAGCTAGCACATGGAAATTATGCAAACCCACCCCCACAATCTGTGTTAACATTACTGGGCAATGGGTATGATGTAGTGAGGAAAAAATCTCTACCCCAGGTGACCCCATTTCTACTTATTGTTCTCTTCAAAGAGGCAATATGAGATCGTGGGTGGAAAAAAACCTTTTGGCTATGGAGTTCTGGGCCCATAGCTATCCCTGGTGCATCTTGTAACAACACCAAGTCTGTTCCCTGGGGAAATAGGTATATGGGGTTGCAGGCTGAAACTCCAAGTGTGGGACTCATTAGAATTGAATCAAATAGTGAACAAGGATAAGACCCCACCTGATTCCTTTCAGTTCTTCTGGTTGTAATAAGAAAGGCTCAGTTTAGTGCTAATAGGTCCTTAACACTTACCTAATATTTGCCCAAATATCTTTAAAAAAAAACTATTAAAATCCTTTTTTCAGTTGGGGAATGCATATATATAGATATATGTTTATATATGTTTACATATTTATTTTAAACAATTTTATTCAGGTATAAGTGACATACAATATATTATACATATTAAAATGTATGATTTGATAAATATTGACTTAGAAATATACCTATGAAGCCATTAAATCCATAAAAATCAACATCCTCCAAAAGTATCCTCATACCTTTTGTAGTAAGTATTCAGCTCACTGAATTTTCAGAAACTGAATGTACCTCTATGACCAGTACACAGATCCACAGAACCCAGAAGCCCTCCTTCTTGTACACCTGTGTTTCAATAGCCTTTGACTGCCAGTAGCTCAGGTCTGCTATTGACCTGACCCTAACTCTCATCTTAGCTCGTGTCTGCTCAGTCCTGCCGTGACTATGCTTTTGAGTTAGGGTGTATGAGTTCAGATTGGGGCTTCATTTATGCAAATTCCTTAGTATCTTTCTGCTTTGGCTACCTTATGTGTAAAATGGGTATAAAAATAGTATTTACCTCATGGTATTATTATGAGGATTAAAAGAGACAATCTTTGTGCTTAGAACTGACAGTTAATTTAGGAACCAAGCATGTTAAATATACAGCTTTTTACAAGCTGCATATTTGCCTGCAATTTTTCAGATTCTTCTTATTAGAGAGGAAAGACTCTTGGGGCTCAGGCTTTTCCCTCCTTTGTGTGTTGGTTTCAGACAAGGTGAGAGGTTAAACTATGTCAACGATGGATTTTGTAGGAGACTGACATACTGGTGCTCAATAAGTATTTACTGGGTCATCTTGACTCAAGAACTTGGTCTTTATGAAGAAATATCTAAAATCTGTTTTTTTCCAGTCATGGCTCATAAATTTGATGAAAAGTCCACTAATTACCCACAAGAAGGAAAGGAGCTTGAGCAACTGTGGCCTGGTGTCTAGCAATGCCATTCTGGTCAGCTCTACAAAGTATCTGACCACCAGGTTGCCCGAAAATTGTTTTTTTCTGGTTCTATGTGAAAATGGAGACGTAGAGCTATTAAACTGTCTTGAAATTTAAGAGGGTAAAAATCGAATCAACCTTGCGCTGCTGGTAACATTTTCTTCCTTGACTCAGGTGCTGGTTACATTAGGTGTTTATTTGTGAAAAGTCACCAGGCTCTGCACTTTCTTTTAAAATTATTATATTTACATATATTAAAATGCACATATCTAAAGTTTTGGGCCCAATGGGTTTTTACCTATACTTGCAACCATGTAATTCTCAGCTAGATCAAGATGTAGAGTATTTCCATGACACCTGAAAATCCCCTTGTGTTCTGTTTCCCAGATGTAAGCACTTTTCTGATTTTAATCACCAAAGATTTAGTTTTTCCTATTCTTGAACGTCATACGATATGTAGTCTTTTGTGTCTGACAGTTTTCACTCAACATGTGTTTGAGATTCATCTATTTTGTTATGTGTAGCCATAATTCATTCCTTTTTATTGTTGATTAATATTCCATGGTATGAATATACTATTTTATCCCTTCCACATTGATGGACATTTTGGTTGTTTCCAGTTTTAAGCACTTATGAATAACGCTTCTATGAACATTTACATTCAAGACTATCGGTGTCTATATGTTTTCATTATTCTTAATACCTTGGAATGGAATGCTGGGTTATAAGGTAGGTGTGTTTGCCTTTGTTAGAAACCACTAAACTATTTTACAGAGTGTTTGCACCATTTTCCACCAGTGATGTATGAGTGTTCCAATTGCTCCACGTCGCTGCCAACACTTGGTATTTTCAGACTTTTTAAAGCTGTATATTTGTGTGCAATTCTGTATGTGTACATTATACTTCAATAAAAAGTTATAAAATTAAACCAGCAATAAAAAGGATGGTGGCTGTGTCAAATGCTGAAACTGAAAATTTAAATAAAGTATCTGGAAGTTTTGTTGACCTCTGCCAGGAATTCAGTAACTGAATGTTGCTCTATCTGATGCATTTTTATTTTACATTATGCAAAAATATTAAGTGATTCAGCCTTAGGGTTGATTGAGGAAATATTGTTTCTGAAAAAAAAAAAAGTCTCCCCAAAGTTTGAGAGAGCTTTTAATCTGTATTTCCCTTTTAGTTTTGATAGGAGGATTTTGATTTAGAACATTCCAACTAGAGCTCACTGTTTCTCTTCTTCTTTCCCATTTCAGAGCACAAATGCCCAGTGGATGAGCGGGAGCAGTTGGAGGAAACTTTGCCCTTGATTTTGGGGCTCATCTTGGGCCTCGTCATCGTGGTAACACTGGTGATTTACCACATTCACCACAAAATGACTGCCAACCAGGTGCAGATCCCTAGGGACCGGTCCCAATATAAGCACATGGGATAGGGGCCATTAGGCAGGCAGCCCCCAAGCCTCTCTCCTCCAGCTGGATCAGGCAGAGAAACAAAAGCACTTTACCACCTTGTACATGGGATACACCAACATAGCTACAATCCAACAGTCCTGGGTATCCAAGGCTTGCTTGACCGGCATCCATGCTTAAACCCAGGGATGGGGGGATTCTTTTGGATTCATGGGGTGAAAGGCAGTCGTTCTCTCCATGCTGGAGAATGAGGACGGAGGGGGTCAGCCAGCTTTCATGTTCATGGTGGCTTGACTTTGACTTCCAAGGAGCAACATACACAACTCAGAGGGGAATCTGGCCCCGAACTTTAGGGATTGGAAAGATACTTCTTTTGAGAAGACACCCCTTTAGGTTCAGAGGAATAAGGGGTGCTTTGCTCCCTTGGACACAACTGGCTTGCCCTATACAATTGTCAATGCACACAAAATACAGCCTCATGCTCCCTGTGGCAAGACCCCTGAAAGTGACCCATGCTTCTGGCTGGCGTTCTGCATGTCTAGTGATTGTCTTGGGAATGTTTCACTGCTACCTGCACCCAGTGACCTTGCAGCACAAGAACCCGTTTAATGTAACTATGCAGAGTTGTTTGGACTTCATAGTGTGCCAGGCCCAAGTAAGGGGACCTGAAGAATCAATCAATCCATGTGAGTTTGTTTTTCAAAATGAATTAAAAGACACTGCTGTCTAACGTTTGGCTGTTTTTCTGAAACAAGAAAACAAAATTAAAATGGTTTCTTTGGCATCAGAGAGGGGAGGGAATGATGAGGATGAGCTATTCATTTCTGCAAGAGGAAAAGCAAAGAAAGGACAGGGAAAAAATGAGGGGGAAGTTGGCTTTTCCAGGGGAAAAAGCATGGATTTATTTTGGCAAATATAAGTCATTTTCATAGTGGCAGCTCTTGAACCATTGATCTGCTATTGCTTCTGATGCTTATTGGTCTTGAGTTTGGCATTTCATGTTGGATTAAAAAGCTGGACCGAACAGAGTAGCCTAGGTTGAGTTTTATTTGAAGTAAAAGGTAATTTATTGAGACTTCCTAGAAAAATATACATTGTTTGAATTTCACTCACTTTCTAAATACTTTTTCAGAAGATGTGAGTGAGCGTAGGGGAAATTTATTTCCTTGGTGTTAAGATAGAAATCCACCCCTCATATAATCTCCACCATATGAGAGGCAGCTCATGAGTTCATCTCTCCAAGTCTTCGACTGCTGACAGCAGTGCACACTTAGATGTTTATCATTCCAGCAAATCTTGATAAGTATCAGCCAGTTGCTATTCTATTACCTGATTGTTTGATGCCCTGTTAACCTCAGTCTTTTCCCCTGCATGATCTCCCTTCAGTGTCTGCCTGGTACCAGTGGAAAAAAGCTCTGGTACCTTATAAAATTTGCATGTTGCACAAGGAAAAGATGAGCCTCGGTGCTGGTGGACATCCCCCGTGGTTCCTCCACTCTCTGTCACCTGTGATCGGCTCACTGCCATGCCCTGACACTGGACAAGCCCTTTCCTTTTTTAGCATCTCCTGTATTTTTTTAAAACTTTGTATTTATTTGGAATCATCCAAGATGAGGGGAGAAATGTACACTTAGATGTATTAATGAGTTACCCTTGCTTTCTGTAACCCATCCAGAAAAATTTTCAGAACTTTCTGAGTCATACAACTGAAAACTCCATATTTACTTAATTTACTCTCACAAAAGTAAATTTCTTTTAAAAAGGACTTTCACAAAACATAGGACTTTATTAATTTTAGAGTTGTCATTCTGTCATTTATTGAACAAACAATTTTGAGCACCTACTGAGTGCAAGCTAAGTGCTGGGTGTATATACAGTAGTAAATCTGACAACTTAGAGTCTATAGGGATGGACTGGCAAGAAAACAAAAAACACACATATACAGGTCAGTCTAAAAAGAACCTAGTGCCTTGGCTTTTCAAAATGTCATGTGGCCACATCCATGTGTCTAGCTGATTAAATTTCTTAATTTTCAAATTTAAGAGTGATTTTTTTCCACCTGTGATATGCATTGCAGTATATATATAAAAACCATATTACATGACTATCCTGCTATTATTAATCACATCATCTTTAGCTAGCTAGCTGTCCTAAAATTTGGTCTCAAGCTCAGCCTAATTTCTTTGAGCCTTGCCTATTTCTCTCGGTCTTGTCTTTTATCTTCATTAAGCCAAATAAAGGGGAGCCTCCTGATTGAGGGCAGGGGCCAATTGTCTCTGGGTGGAGAAGGCAAAGTGCCCAGAGGGACTGACTCAGCCCTGGGCCTCAGCCCTGGGCTCCTTTCATGGCCATCGTCATTGTTTTGCATTTTACAACTGCTGCTGTATACCAGGGACAAGCTGAGGTGGTGGCTCATAAATCTGCATTGGTACAGAATCTCAGAGATGGGAGAGAAAACAGACAAACCACAGATGCTCAATTACTCTTTTAACTTTTTCTTTTTTACTGGCATTTTAAACACAAATGCCTTGAAGCCACAAAAGGATGTTGGGTCTGGTAGATGGTCTGCCCCCTTGGAAAAGCCAGGCAGGAGGAACCATATGCAGATTTCTTTGTGAGGGGGTGGGGGCAGTGGAGGCGGGGTAAGGGTGGAAGGGGAGGGTGAGTTTGATTTAAATTCTGGGCATAGGTTTTTGCAGAGTTCCCCCATTCTTGGGAAATAGGTCCCAGTGAAGCTTACTCTGGCAGCAGGGGAAGACTTTGTTCTCTATCTTGAAAAAGCCCTCTGAACTATAACCACTCTCTTCTTGCCAATTATCCAGTCCTTTCATTAACAAAGACTTGTCAATGCCATGTGGGTGTGGGAGACACCAGAGAAAGGTGGAGAAACAGGAAGAAAGATGAGAAGAATGCCCTGCAGCTTCTGGTGGAAGCAGCATGCTGTGTGCAAGTGCTGGGGTGTTTTACCTAGAGGGTAGTCCAAACTGGCATTGGACACAGACGATTCCCTGGAACAAACACCTGAGAACCAGGCAGACCTAACTTTAAATCAGTGCGTGTCAAAGTGCAATTTGCAAGCAACCTGCATCAGAACTACCCTGGGGGCCACTGAAACACATCATTTCTAGGGCATCATTCCAAACTAATTGAGAATCTCTGTGGTGAGATCCTAGAATCTGTAGTTTTACCATGCTCCCTAGGTCATTTTGATGCAGCAGTAAGAAAACTGGTTAAAAATCCTTTGTTATCAGCCTACCTGCAACATTAGCCAAATTATTGGGCTTCTCTGTGCTCATTTTCTCATTTGAACATGGAGCTCACTCGCCCATCTTTGCAAAGTTATTTGAAGTTTCATTTAAGTTCTTAGCGCATTGTCTGGCTCACTGGAAATACTCCATAAAAGGTATTATTGATGACATTTTCCTAGCATAATTCTTAACACGTATATTCCAATTTTACCTGCCATACAAGTTCAAGAAAGATCCAAAGGGACTGATGCAGGACTTTTAAACCTGGCATCCACAATTTTCCGCGTCAGTTTGAATTCAGAGTATGTTTCTATGCAGAGTTTTCCTCCCACTCCCAGCCCAGTAAACTACTCAGGGGGTTATCATTTTGGGGCATGGGGGAGACTGTCAGAGTCTATGAACTTGGATGAACAAAAGTTACACTTTTGGGTTTTAACTTTAAATGAAAAATAGCATTTCTTTTAATTATGAACATAGGTACCAAATCACTGCAGGAACTGTGTCATCAGTAGACAATACACTACATTTGTTGGAGATCTATCAAAACATCATTTATATTCCTTACTTTGAAATTATGTTGGTTATTAGACTTCCACAAAATCTTGTTATTTAATGCATTATAATCATAAAATTAAAAAAATTTTGGTAACTATAATTAGTTTCCTTTGTAAGCTGAATTACTTTACTTTATTCATCTAAAACCTTTTTTTTTCTGAGGAGTCCATAGGCTTCAGACAGCCAAGAGGGTCCAAAGTACAAAATCAGGCTAAGAACTTCAGAGCTAAGGGCTACTTCAGTTGTCACTCATTTAAAGTGACCAATCTGTCAGGTTGTCTGCTGGGGAAGGTTTTGTGTGTTTTCTAGACCCTGGTCTGGATGTCTGGGACACATCGGTGAACAGTTTAGGTAAACATCCCTGCCCCCATGGAACTGAAATCTCTCTCTTTCTGTGGTTTATGCAGGTATTTGATAAATGTGCTGATATTGCCTAACTTTGGGAGGCCTTGGTTAGCTCAGTTAAGATGCTGATGGTGATGAGGTATATTTATCAAAGCATTTGGTACATGAGCAAACTTTTCAGGATAAGAAATCCCTTTGCTTTTAAAACGGTATACAATAGTCTCCCCTTACTGGTGGTTTCGCTCTCCTCAGTTCAGTTACCCTGTTTCCGTTATCCGTGGTCAATCACAGTCTGAAATTTTACATGGAAAATTTCAGAAGAAAACAATAAGTTTTAAGCTGCACATCATTCTGAGTAGATGAAATCTCAAACCATCCCCCTCTGTCCCACATGGGACATGAATCATCCCTTTGTCCGGTGTATCCACGCTGTATTCATTCCTCGTCTGTTAGTCACTTAGCAGCTGTCTCGGTTATCAGATCAACTGTGGTGTTATTGAAGTGCTTGTGTTCAAATAACCTTTATTTTACTTAATATGGCCCCAAAACCATTCACATAACTTTTAATATAGTATATTGTTATATTTTATTAGTTATTGTAGTTATCTCTGTGCCTAATTTATAAATTAAACTCTATCATAGTTATGTATGTATAGGGAAGAACAGTATACTGCACTATCAGTACTGTACAAATCTGATATCAGTATATCAGTACTTTCTGCATTTTCAGACATCTACTCGGGGTCTTGGAATGTACCCCCATGGATAAGGGGTGTGTGTGTGGGGAGGGGGATACTAGTGTGTTTTGATCCAGAAATCAGCAACCCATAGACTTTCTCAAGTCCTCTTTTTGTCCTTCATTAGATTCATTTACATAGGAGATGTTGTCAGGGCCCCACCCATGTTAGTTAGCCCTTCCTGGAGGTCATTTGTGACAGTTTCCCCAAAGCTTCCTGTGCCTTTCCTGTTTTATCAGAGGGAACAAACTTGCCCATATATGGCAGTTCTGGGAGTTGATGCCCTAGGAGCATCTCTCAACCAATGAGGGATAAGAGATGGTGGATAAATGGCCAGCAGCATCTTCACCCCCAGAAGGACAATACTGGAGTGTCTCTCCCAGCAGATCTCCAGTGGGAGGAGTCCCAGTTGCCCGTAGTGGCAACCCATTCATTAAAATACTTTTTTTTTTTTAACTTCTCTCTCCTCTTTGTCTCACTTCTCCACTCTGCGATGTTGAGATCATCTTCCTGGGATCATCTCCCAAATAAATCATTTGTGTCAAAGTCTTTAGGTTCTCCTTTTGGCAGACCCCACATTAAAGTAATACATTCATCTGACTTGAAAATACTACTCAAAATGCATACATTTCAAGGCTCAAGTTGACTTTCCTGCATGATTTGGATTTGTGTTGTATCATGTCACTTTCACAGAATTGCTCCTGCTTGTACATTTTGCACCTACTTCAGACTGAGTCTATTTTTTCTCTGCCTGGAATCTCATTGCCACTTCTTTGATGATACAGTGCTATTCATTTAACTGGTTTGAACAAGAAGTCTGAACTCATTGAGTTATTAACTTCATAGAACGATTTCATTTTTCCAGTAATTGCTACTGAGTGTGTCCTTCCCAGTGGGTAATGGAGACACAACCATAACTCAGTTGGATTCTGTCTGATCCATTAAAAAAAATCAACCTCAATCTAATTCAAAATAACTTCCCTCTGTTTTGCTTGGGCTAAACGTATCAGAGAATGAGAAAGAGGTAGCAGTGGATAGGTAGGGGAAATAATATGGTATGTGCTCTTTTTATCCTTTCTTCTAAGTCCCTCCTTCAAACCATGGAGTTTCACACTAATACATGGCCTGAATTTATGGGTAGCAGTTGGGAAAGGAGTTTCCAGTAACCCACCTGGCTGTAGTCACCTGCACTGGTGATGCTGTTGGAAGCAAGGTAGGTGCCTGAATTTCACTGTGTCAGTCTGAAGACTACAGCTTCTGTCGTTTAGAGTGGTCTTGGTGTAGGTGGTACATGTAGTTTTTAGAGTAAGGTTCAGCTCCACCCTGACCCCTTCACCCTGCAGAAAAATAGCCATATCTCCCTTTCGTTATTCCCATGGTGCATGCCTCCAATGCACTCTCCAGGCTGGGCATCCCATTACTTAGTTTAGTGGGTGCCATGTTCCCTGTTCCTTCTCCATGATCCATCAGAGCCAGAAGAACCTCTTCTTCCATGCCCTGCAATGGCTTCGGGGACTTGCCTTGGAGAGGTTGCCTCCATCTTTCTTCCTCTTCCCTGGCACACAATATGCTACATCCTTTCTCATCCTGCCATCTTAGGCTATTCCCTGAGCGTTTTCACCTCTGATATTTCCACGTGGGAAATGAGCTCTTTATATACAAGTGTCTCTCTCTCAACTTCATGGGTTAAATGTTAGTGTCTCCCTTGTCAACCAAATTAGAGAGGAGCCCAACAGTCTCTTCCAGGCTACCAGAGAGCTCTTACCACACCTTCTTTAACCCAGAATAATCTACTTTTATGTCTTTCATTGGTGAAAGCCTTCAGGTCAGTTCAACATCTTTGGAACAGAGGGGGGAGTGGGAGTATTTAGCCATGAATCTGGCTTTTCTTGAACTTGGACTTCCTGAATAATTATTTCTCCTCTGTAGTGTATCTACACCATAGTATTACAGTTTGTAACCTCTAGGAATGGAAATATTTTTCTTTGGTTCATGACATCATGATGTTACATGTAACTTTATACTAACTTACTCGCACTCCCCAAGATCATAAAGAAACCATTCTTGGTTACTCAGGAAAACAAATTCGGGGAATCACTAGAATTTCTAATAACACAATAGGGAAAAGACAAACATTTATTTTTATTTGCAAGTGCAGTTTCTGCCAATAGTTAGTGCTCACAAAACCTTTTAAGCTACAGTAACTTTTGGTAAACTCAATGAATACTTTAAAAAATACTCAGTGATAAGAAAATTACAGAAAAATTTCCATTAAACTGTCAAAAATGTTTGGAATCCAAAATCCACTATTTACTATTTTCTGCAATGGTTTTAATAGTAGTTATGGTTAAAAAGAGATTTTTTTCTTTTCTTTCTACTACATAGTTCTGACTAAACTAATACAATCGGTTCCATGAACTTTTAGCACTGCCATTTTCTGGATTTAGATTGTTTTTATTCTTACATATTTATATTTTGATATTTTACATAAAACATTGATTTGTTGCGCTTTATGAAACAAAATTACAGATCCTATTTATGATGAGGCATTTCCAGTTTGGGGGAAGACTGTAATCAGTAGAAGGTCTTTTATGCCTTTTTTTCCTTTTAACTATCATAAATAATTAGCAACCTATTAATTACAAAAATTCTTAATTATGCTTAGAGCAACCAGAGCATTTTCACAAATTTAAATTCTTATTTGTTACAGTATATGAAGCCATTAAGAAAAGCCTCTGGTTTTCCAGTTTGGTAACAAATGGCTTTTGTCTGATGCATAATTAATAGAAACTAATGATGACTATGTAGCTCTTTCAGAGTTTTAAAGGCAAATCTATATTGGCCTACAGTTAACATGCATATTCATCCAACAAGCAACACAAAATGTACTGTAGTAGTCATTCATTTTTATCAACATTCAGGAAAATCTAGTCAGCAGCACAACTCTCCTATGTCAGAAACACATTATAACATTGTCACAACTGAAGTCAGGTCACACCTGGTAAAATACCCCTTTCTAATTCTTTCTCTAGAGTCAGTTCAGACTTCCAGCACAATACATAAACAATAGCAATTAATACTGTGGTACAAAGGTAAATACAGACAAGAGTTTGGTGTGCTAGCATACAGAGTTTTTAAAAACAGTGACAAACGAAACCAAACACCTTGCCCTGTTTTCTCTCCTTTCCCTTTGTAAGACTGAAATTCCCACGGCTTTACTGAAACATTCAACTGAATCCAATGATCCTAGCATGGAATTGTTCCTTGGGAGGGAAATTTGGCCACAAGGGGATGTTGTACACATTTGAGAGAGGCTACCAGGGGAAACATCTTGCTGTGCAAAAACTGATTTATAACTAATCGTCTTGAAGAAAACATGATTTCCACCACCCCGCTCCCCCGCCAAATATTTAGTTTTATCTCAAGGAGTAGTTTGGTGGCATACTGTGGCTCAAATTTTATTTTATTATTTTTGATTGGATAAATGAAATGTGCACCACCATCACCATCACCCTTAATTCTTCTTTCATCACGTAAGACACTTGTTAAGATAAGAAAGATATTCTACTAAAGCTGACGGTGACTGAGAGTCATTCAGTATTCAAAGTTCCTAAAGAATCGTTGGTTTTCTGAAAGGGGTAAAAAAGTAGGAAAGGCTTTGTTCAAACTCTTGCTAGTAAACAAGTATTACTTCAACCGATACAATGGCTACGTGACATCAAAGTACTATAAATTATCAAAACTATCGTACAGAAAAATTACAAATTCATTGCAAAATACATTACACTGCTACCATTAAGAAAAAAGTGCTTTTTGTTTTCCTTTCTTTTTTTTTCTTTTTTTCTTTTTTTTTTTTTTTTTGCCCGAAAACTTTTTTT